AAAGAGAGCCAGTCATCTAAGGTTCTATTCGGAGTCTCAGAAGTGCTAAATTATTTCTTGTTTACTCCTCATTAGTAAGGATTAAAAGAAGGTGCACATACATGTGTTGGATATGAAAATGCAAGTATGTTACATACTGTATTTGCTGGCTTGCAATCAGCAGTAGTGGAAGGCAAACCTAATCATCCATCCATCTTTTTCTTTCTCTTATGTTTTATTCAAGATCCCAATCTACTATTGCGTCCTTCATTCTTGTTCTCCTTTCTTCCCACTCCTCTCATTATTCTTTAACTGGTGGTACTAAGGTGGTGGGAAACAGGAAGGAGAGGGCGTCTCTGCACTCACGTGGGACCCTGCCAACCCACTCCTCCTCAAATCCAGGGGCCAATTTCTCAAGCGCACAAAACAAACACCTCAGGCGTCAACGAGGGCATCCATAATTAATGTCACCTGACACTCGACGCCGGCCTCACTCTCATAATTCACCACGGGAAATAATGCGGTCAGGTGGAAGCACTGTATTACAACCCCGCGTAACTAACAATGCACAACAAATGCCACCTGTCCTGGTTTAGTTTTAATGAATAACCCTATATTAGTCACACACCGGTGAAATAACCTCACACTTATGCAGTGCAGACAGTAACCCACACATTCAGATTCACAAAAGCACCAGAAAATGATAGGTAATTGAGTTTGTATCACATGGATTTGTGATCCTGTTTTGCCCCACTAAAGGCCAATGTGGTTTTTCATCACCTCTGGAAGGTGTTGTGTGCATCAGAAAGTCTCATGGAAGTTTATTTGCTCCTGGTATGTGCCTTTACTTATTTTCTTCCAACAAATGAAAGTACCTCAAATTTGAATGATTGCTTTTATTGAGCTTTTTACTGACTGCATTCGAAAATGGTGGGCAAACATATACAAATACATAGATGTATACAATTATGCATAGATGCAGATGGCTATTTCTGTATACACACATTTCTGTTTCTTGGTCTGACATTTGTCGTCGTCCACCCACCCTAAAAGAGCTTCATTTGTCTTTTCTTGATCTATCACACTTGGTTGTGTCAGCTTCTGGCTTGTGGTGGTAAGTGTTTTGATTTGCTGCTCGAGGTGAAGAATGTTGCTTTGGGTCCAAGCCAAGTCTTTCTCTAAAGTTGTCATTTTCTTCTTCGAGGTTACTTATTGTCATAAACAGCTGGTGTATCTCTTTGTTCATGGCCTCTGCTTCTAAGTCTTTCTTTCTCATTCCCTTTTTCCACTCTTCAATCTCTGCAGCAGCAGCTTGCGGACCACGATTACCTGATGTGTGTTTTCTAATGCTGTCTGAGGGCTGAATGGATGGCAAATCTTTCCCCAAAGCATGATCTTGGGATATTTTCACGGCCACCTCTGCTTCTGCTGGTCTCTCCTCCGCAGCGTCCAGATCCGTCCTAATCTTTGTTATTTGGTTCAAGGTTAAAGAAAGAACTCTGTCTTTCTTTATTGTAAACTTTATGTCTTCGGTGTGCCGGATACACTTTTCAATTTGCTCCGTATACTCCGTCACTTTCTCACTCAGCAGCTTGATTAGATTTTCGTGCTCCGTAATGATCCGCTGTATGGCGTTTAAATTGTCCGTGTTCTGCTCGGCTGATAGCAGCTGAAGCTTCTGCTCGTGGATCACCTGCTGCCACACTAGAATTTCATCTTCCCTCTGAGAGAGCACCCTCTTCCAGCACTTTGCTTGGATGTCGACTGCATCCGCTAATGAGTCAGCTTCTTGAGTAATTTTCTGAAGTGCATTTGTCAACTCACCTGCATGAGTCTTTGCCTGATCTCTCTCTGTCCTGAGCTGGTCTGCAATTCTGTCAGACTCCAGTATAGCTCTCTTTGCATGATTGTAGTTGTCTGCCATCTTCTCAAATTCTTTTGTGGCCTCCGCAAGATTTTTTTTATATAAATCATTTTGCCTCCTAAAGTGTTCGTTTTCATTCTTGACTTCTTTCAGGTCTTCTATGCTTTGTTTAAGTTGCTCATCTTTTAGCTTGAGCATCGTCTCACGCTCGGCATACTTTTCTTGGAACTTGACTTGTCTCTGTTCTGAATGTTCCTGAATGGAGTCCACCTCGTCCTGGAGCTCCCTATATGCCAGTTTAAGTTCTTTCAGTGCTCTTTTTAGTGTCATTACGTCATCTTCAGCAGTTTTCAAGCTCTTAGCCACCATTTTACGTCTCATTTTTTCTTTTTCCATTCTTCTCTTTGACTCTGTCAATTCTTCCTTTGCTTCCTCGAGCTGGTCTTTGAGTTGGTACATCTCATCGCGAACAAGCCGAGTCTCTGCTCTGGTGCCAGACACCATGAGTTGTTGTTGTAACTTCTGCAATTTTGTTAGAAGTTCTTTTTCAGTCCTATTCTGTTCCATGCACGTCTCTTCGTGACATTTTAGAGAAAGGCTAAGTTCCCGCTCTTTCATTCTTAGCATAGCCTGAGATACTCTTAGGACATGAATAATATCCTCTGCTGTTTGATCACTCACCTCCCATTCCTCTGTCAATGCAAACATTTGCATAATCTCATCTAGTTTGTCTTTTTCTAATTCATGAAGTGTCACTGGATTAAATTTGAACATGGTCTCCCATGCTGAGGTAGCATGCACGTGAGCCATTGTGTTTTCGAAGATCAAACAGGACAGTTTGAGAGGAATCACTCAGATGACTTTAACACAGAGTTCCAGACTTATGACGTCATAATGGGGTCATAAATGATGTCACAGTACCATAGATTCACCTGGTAACAGGGAAAACTTAGGCTCCGCCTTCCAAGGAGGCTGGCAGTCTCTCGGGCAGGTGGGAGTTGTGAACTGCTTAGCTTCAGAGGTCAGGCTATCTCTGGTTTCATGGAGAATGA